CCAAAATTGACAAACGTGTTACGTCAACTTACATTGTACATCAAGAGAGGCACTAGCGGTGATATTCACACCTAGTCCATTATCTGCTGAACATTGATATTCCCCAGACTGATTTCGTTTGGCAGAAAACCTCAGCACACCTCCTTGAGCCACAGTCTTCCCATCTTTCATCCATGTTATCTCAGGGGTTGGATTACCAGAGGCAGAACAATGGAATCTTGCTTCACTATCTTCTCGAACAGTCAGATCGCTTGGTGTTGCTGTAAAACTTGGTGGAACTGCAAATTACGTAAAGTAAGTTCGGCGGAGTTCGGTTATCCGGAACAACATTATCAACATAATGGAAATTCCAGCTAACGTGGCTAACGTCTTGATGGATTCTTTCTAATTTTTTCGCCCACGATGCTAATCAACTTCAGGGAACCCTCTAACAGTTTGCCGATGCGCACTTAATCAGGAGCGCTTTGCTGTCAAGTTTTTGCTTTGTCATTACGGTTACAAGGATCACTAAAACTCACCGATCGAGATGAATACCTTATGAATTCCCCCGTCCCCTTTCCTTTTCCCCATAGTCGTAAGTACTGATTGACACAGACTGAATTATTGTTCGTTTTCCTCCACTGCGATTTTTTTTATTTTGTTGTACCGACCCTGGTATGAGTTTAAGTTTACACTAAGCTATACTTACACTGAACATCAAGAGAAGCACTAGCATTGACAGTCACATTTAACCCATTGGCAGCTAAACACCAGTACTCTCCAGATTGATTCCTATTGGTAACAAACATCAGTTTCTTTCCTTTAGCAACAGTCTCCCCATCCTTAAACCATGTAATCTCTGGAATTGGGTTTCCAGTGGCATCGCAAGTGAATACCACCGAGCTACCTTCAGTAATGGTTTTGTTCGTTGGTTTGACCACGAAGCTTGGTGCATCTGTGACACAATACAAACAAAGAAAACTTAGCATACACTATCAAACGCTTCACTCTTTACATCTTCACATAAATTTTCCGCATTGTGCCAATCAAACGTTTCTTATAATTTCAGTTCTGAGAATTCGTTTGCCTGAAATTGTATTGATAGTGGACAAATTCGTGTTTACCCTTGGGAAGGAGAGGGTCTGAGCCTTGCTGTATCGTGAACTGTATTTCAAGATGAATAACTTAATCGGTAATCACTTAGGCGATTTGAAATCATGCCGGAACACAATTTTGTTCTACCCCGCTGAATTGACCTTCGGTTTAAAAGAGACCAAAGATTGTTTTGTTTTTCGGTCAGACAGAAGACACCTGGGAAAAAAAGATAACAAAAATTGCTAAGGTTGAAGACGACCATCGGTGAAAACTATAAGGTAAAACTTACACTGTACATCAAGATGGGCGCTTGCATTGATGGCTAGTTCTACTCCATTCTCAGCCAAGCAAAAGTATTCTCCGGAATCATTCTTACGGGCTCTAAACTTAAAAGTGTTTCCTGAAGCCAGTATATTTCCATCCTTTGTCCAAGTTATTCTAGGCATTGGGTTTCCTTTAGCAGCGCAATGGAATATCACTTCTTCGCCTTCCATGACAGTCTGGTCAGATGGTAGCGTAGTGAAACCAGATGAGACTAAAATGGTAAAACGGAATACACTGAGCAAAAATTTAAACGCAGATAACACTGCGGTCTTTAGACTGAATGTACAATACTGCTCGGGTATACCGCAACATTACACATGCGTTACACGCGTGGTATTCCCACGCACTGCGCGCGCGAAGCACGCACACTTCACATCACATCAGAAGCTACTTGTTTATCAAAAATGCACGCATGTAAGTGTAAAATGCAAGTAAATTACACAAAATAAGTGAAGTAATTCCCATGTACGACGCGCCTCTGACTCTATACATACGAGCAGTACTGTACTATAGACAAATAGATCCTAATTGGCCGCGGGTCTGTCCAATAATTGATCACAGATGACGTCAAAATGTGGTAAGAACAAAAAAAGTGGCTCATAAAGCACACCTTCGGCTATGTGAGATATATACTAAAGCATTTACTCACACTGAACGTTGAGAAAAGCACTAGCATTGGCCGTGACTCTCAAACCGTTATCCGCAATACACCAGTATATTCCAGAATCTTCCTTCTTAACTTCTAAAGTAAGTGATCTTCCTGTAGCTACAGTCTGACCATCCTTCATCCATGTTATCGTTGGAGTGGGATTCCCCGCAGCTGAGCAGCGGAGAGTTGCATTGTGACCCTCGGCCATAGTTAAGTTTGTAGGAGTAACAGTCAGAGCTGGTGGGACTGTGGCAGAAAACAAGCGCTCGTGATATATCAATACATTGGAAACAGAGCACAGCACAGAGATACCAAGAACTACAAAGGGACTAGTCATTGGGAGGGAGGATAAATGTAGGATAGAGGTCTTAAGTCTTGTAACCCCTATCCCTTATTTTCGCTCTAGTTACGGAAACATAATATTAAAATTATATCAATGTTATGAATGAACATGGAGTAATTTTTAGTATGATTTTCTCTGATCTTCAACCAGCTTGAAGAATTCCCTTTAATATGGAGATGTCAAATTTGTAAACAGACACAAACGACCGCACTTCACGCTTTTTATCCTTTGGACAGTTTATCGAAAAAAACCAACTTTTGACAGTCTTTCTTCGCCATACTTACACTGTACGTCAAGATGAGCAGTCGTTTCGATAGCATCACCCAGTCCATTGTCCGCAAAACACCAATATTTTCCAGAATCACTTCTGTTGGTTTGAAGACTCAATGTGTCCCCTTTAGCCACAGTTTCCCCATCTTTCAGCCACGACATCTTAGGAGTTGGGTTTCCAGTGGCAGCACAGTGAAAGGTTGTGTTCGTTCCTTCGATAACAGTTTGGTTAGTTGGTCTTGAAGTAAAGCTTGGTGGAACTGAAACAAATGAGATCTAATTGCATTTCACAGAGCGGATTTCTACTGCATGTTGTAAAACAAAAACAAAAAACTTTCAAACCAGAATGACCGATCAGAACAAAGGAGGGCAAGGAGCCTATTAGAAAAGCAAGTAAGGCGAGCCTTTATTTCGCAACTGATTATTTTGAGGGAGGGGGAGGGGGTGGCGGGAATTTTCGAGACGAATCACACAACGAAGGAAGCAGAAACAACGTACCCCCGCATTACTTTGAACGCAGTTGAGTTGAGCTTCTTTCAGTAACTTACTAAGTCTTTGTAGTCGGATCAACTGGTACAGATGTATTGTACTTACACTGGACATCAAGATTGGCAATGGAATTCACAGTAGCCTTCATACCATTCGCTGCTGAACACCAGTATTCCCCAGATTGAGTTTTGTTGGTTTTAAAGCTCAGAGTATCTCCTTCGGCCACAGTCTTTCCATCTTTGATCCATGATATCATGGGAGTTGGGTTCCCGGTGGCTTTACAACGGAAACTTACCATATCTCCTTCAATAGCAGTCTTGTTTGTTTGCTTGGTGATAATACTTGGTGAGACTGAAAGGGGTTAATAACTCAGATATTAAAAAAAGTGTACAATTTGAAAAAGTAAGAGTATTGTGGTCAACTTTCACCGATAGCATTGATATGATATCACTTGAAAGAAAACAATTTTACGAGTTTGGTTTCCAAACTTACACTGTACATCGAGATAGGCAGTTGCATTGATAACTTCACCCACTCCATTCTTAGCCAAACACCAATATATCCCAGAATCATTTCTGCTGGTTTCAAGGCTCAAAGTGTCGCCTTCTGCCACAGTCTTTCCATCCTTAAGCCATGACATGTCAGGATGAGGGTTCCCAGTTGCTGAACAGTTAAATATTATTTTTGTTCCTTCGATAACAGTTTGGTTGCTTGGTCTCGAAGTAAAGTTTGGTGGAACTGGAATAAAATAAAAAAATCATACACAGTATTCAAATCTGTAGGATTTAAATTCTTTATGCAAAATCCGTGAAGTATTTTCTTTGTAGCAGCTATGTTACGCACATGAAACATAAACATTGAGTTGTTATTGAGACGGAGAAGACTAGTGATAGTTTGTCAGGGAGGAACCAAAGACTATTGCGGATGTGGAAGAATTAACACAGATTGCAATCAACGGGTTACTGATTATTCTACGGGGTCAAATGTATGGTACTTACACTGAACATCAAGATTTGCGCTAGCATTGACAGCGGACGCTAGTCCATTCTCTGCTAAACACCAATATTTTCCAGTTTGAGTTCTGTTTGTTTCAAAGCTCAGTGTGTCTCCTTCACCCACAGTCTTCCCATTGTTAATCCATATCATCTTTGGAGTTGGGTTCCCAGTGGCAGCACAATGGAAGGCTACCATGTCTCCTTCAGCTACAGTCTTGTTTGTTGGCTTGATGATAATACTCGGTGAAACTTAAAGGTGAAGGGAAAAAAAAGGTAACAAAAGTGTCCATCTACAAAGACTACTGAAGTAATGACAAGTACATAGAAAACACAAAAATAAATAAATAACATAAATTAACCTTAAATACAGACTTAGAAAAGGCATCGTCATCCGTTAGAGGGAAATTTCCACGGCCACGATCTCCAACGAAGGTTTGCAGATTTGCTTTGCATTCCATTTTCCAAAGCTAGCATACAACAACTGCAGTGAACAAACCGATCTGTTTTTTTAAGCGTCTCGATAGGATTGTCGTAAATGCTCTTCACAGAGCATATTATTTTGCCAGTTTCTATATCAAACTTACATTGTACATTAAGATAGACCGTCGTATTGATAGCTTCACCCAGTCCATTCTCAGCCAAACACCAATATTTTCCAGAATCGTTTCTACTGGTTTCAATGCTGAGGGTATGTCCTTCAGCCACAGAACTCCCATCTTTCATCCACGTTACAGTTGGAGCTGGGTTCCCGGTGGCAGTGCAAAGGAAACTTACATTCGTCTCTTCAATAACAGTTTGGTTGCTCGGCCTCGAAGTAAAACTTGGTGGAACTGTAACAGAAGAGAAAGCACGCATAAAATTTATATTTGTCTGTAAATTGAAATAGCTCATAGCTATTTTCCTGGTATAATGCTAAAATACTTACACTGGACATCAAGATTAGCGCTGGCATTTACAGAAGGCTTCAATCCATTCTCTGCCGAACACCAGTATTTTCCAGATTGAGTTCTGTTTGTTCTAAAACTCAGTGTGTCTCCTTCAGCCACGGTTTTCCCATCTTTAGTCCACGTCATCTTTGGAGTTGGGTTCCCAGTGGCAGCGCACTGGAAGGTTACCATGTCTCCTTCTGCAACAATCTTGTCCGATGGCTTGAGAATGATACTCGGGGGGTCTAAAAATGTGAAAAGAGAAATCTAAAACAATACTCCTTAGCAATCTTTTCTGATCGTCACGACCTTGTCCAGCGTTGTTTGGTTTTGAAGTTATACTTGATTCCTTTATGTTTGTTAATTAAAGAAGGGTTAATGAAAAAATAATCAAGGAACAGCACACTGGCTTGCATAAAGCTCTAAATCTTACTTGAATAAACTTCTTCACCTGAGTTATATAAAGATGAGATCTGCATATTGCTGTTCTATCTGTTACAAAGGCAGATGACTTTCTTTGCACATCAGGAAAGACAGTTAGGTTGCACCAATCGTAATTTTTTCTACAAATCTCATTAGTACTGTTATGATATTTCTTTGAGGAAACACTTTCCTTAGATTCTTTACCAACTTACATTGTACATCAAGATTGACAGTTGTATTGATAGATTCACCAAGTCCATTCGTGGCCAAACACCAATATTTTCCAGAATCATTCCTGCTGGTTTCAAAGCTGAGAGTTTGTCCTTCTGCCACAGATTTTGTATCTTTCATCCACGTTATAGTTGGTGTTGGGTTCCCAGTGGCAGTGCAATGAAAAGTTGTATTCGTTCCCTCAATAACAGTTTGATTTGTTGGTCTTGAATCAAAGCTTGGTGGAACTGAGATATAATACACACAGCATGAAAAAGTGAATAACAAAGCAGTTAGTAAAAAGAGGTCAAGTATTGGACCACAAATAACAATTGCTATAACGTTATTGTACTTACACTGGACATCAAGATTGGCGCTGGCATTGACAGCAGATTTCACCCCATTCTCTGCAGAACACCAGTACTTTCCAGATTGAGTTCTATTGGGTCTAAAACTCAGTGTGTCTCCTTCAGTCATAGTTATTCCATTTTTAGTCCACGTTATCTTTGGAGTTGGGTTTCCAGCGGCAGCACACTGGAAGGTTAGCAATTTTCCCTCGGTAACAATCTTA